TATTAAAACTTCTTTCTGGTGTTGTAGAACTTCAGCTTGCAGCTTTAAAACCTCTTGGTTTGTTATTCTCCTTTTTCGTTCTGTTTTGCTTGGTGGAGGGAGGGCGGGGATAAGGGTGGTGGGCACAGGTAAACAATTAGGAGTAAAGACTTCTTCCTTATTGAAAGATGGTGGTATCGGACGCTGTTTTTCACGATCATAATTATCTTCATCTGAATCATCTGAGTCGAGTTGTCCTACTTCTGTTAATTCTTGAAGGATACCGTCTCTAAGTGCGGGCGTGCTACAACCCTCCAAGGATTGTCTATCCTGTCCGTCTGAAAAATGAAGAGACATAAAATACCCAAATAATAAAACATAATACATATACAATAAACAAAATATATGCTTTAAAAAAAGGCGAAACTGCAAAATGCAAAGTGTTGACACAAGCATTTATGTATAGCAGAGTCTTGGCAAAGTTAGAATTTCAACTAGAAGAGAAAAACTTATCTTAGTTTAGGAAGCCGTTTTCACTAATGGAGTTGAACAAATATTAATAGTTGAAAACTTGGCAATTTCTTTGCAAACATGGCCGCGTTCGTGCAAATATGATGATATGAAATGAATATATGATTACAATTTAATTAAGCGTTGCGCTCTGGAAACTAATTTAGAGACTTGCCCAAACTTGTACCACAGTTCAGCGCAACAAATGCAATCACTTCCCACCGGTACCTGTTTCAAAGCCGCTTAATCCGGTAAAAAGAGGAGTATCTTCAAATATTTTGATTATCCTCTCTTGCGCTGCAGTGGGTTCTTTAGGTGGAGGACCACCTCCAGTTTTTCGCATCTGCCTATTCACATCGGCAAACGTTTTCTTAGCGGAGCTGGTCAGGTTCTTCCACTTCTCTTTAATTTCGCTTGTTGTGCGGTTTGCCACCCCTATCGCGTTTATTTCTTTTGTGATATTCTCCCAAATTTTATTTTTTTTCTGATTCGTTACCGCATTGGTTAGTTTTGACTGGATTAGTCCTAAATTTTCTTGCACTCTGCTGGTCAAAGTGTCTATTTCGGTCACCGTAAAGTTGAGCTTTCTTCTTTTCTTTTGTCTCCCTCCTTCAACGTCCGCCATTTTGCAAGAATTCGCGCGCTTTTTAACCTAAGGTTAACTGCCTTAACCCTGGGTTAGTTAACCGCAACTTTCACACTGCTTTGAACAACGGAATTTTAACCTGGGGTTAGCTAACCTTGGGTTAAGGATTTTAACCCAGGTTTAACGCTAACCCTGGGTTAAATTTAACCCGCTTTTGAACAACCGGCCCCCGATGCGAAAATCATACCAGCAAGCTACGCTTTCATTCAAGACCAATTAGCAGGTTTGCTTAATATTCGGTAACGGGTTGAAAATGCATAAATTTTGACTATTTCAGGTAAAAAGGATATATTATTAAAAATTCTATGGATGAAGAATTAAAAATTTAGATCAATTAGTTTGATTTGCTGTGCCTGCATGAAAAATGCAAAAAAATATGTCTATTAGTTTCAAACGAAATTTCACCTCTTTTTCACCTGTGAAACCACTCACACAGCTCACTGGAACGAAAGTAATCCTCAAAACTGAGTTCTTTACATACAAAATAAATGGTGAGTTTTATGAAATATTGGGGGAGCCCAAAATTCGTAGTCGGCAGGATTTGAACCTGCGCGGGAATATCCCAACAGATTTCTAGTCTGTCGCCTTAACCACTCGGCCACGACTACATGATGGGTTGCTTCCTTGGCATTCGTATTGGAACTTAACGAGTTATATTACGTCTTGGGCACAGTAATATATAGTGACTCTGGACTTCGTAGTCCTGCCTAGCTTCTCAGTTTATGTGCTAACCGTATTTAGGATTGGTGAAATAGTAAAATTAAGAAATAAATTAAAGTCTCGTGCAAGTCACGGTGATGATTGGCGGAAGTTCAGTTTATCATATTTTATTAGGAAAGGCTCAGATTCCTTCATTATCGACGTTAAGTTGTTATTTGAAATAAATTCTCTAATGTATCGTATGTTAATGCTTTTTGTTGCTTTCGAATTAGAATTTATATAAAATGAGCTACAATCAGTGACAAAACTCTCCGGACATTTCACTGAAATTTTCAATATGAACCCCCCTTGTACCCCCCGCCCCCTTTCAATGTTGAATATAAAAATATGGCTTAATATATTACTTACTGTCGCTCCAAAGGCTTTCTACAGAAACAAATTTGCCTTTAGCCAACATTGAAGAGGGGGACGGGGGAGAAGCCACTGTTTTTAATGAGCTGTCCAAAAAATGAACGAAAATATGTAAGTGTCCGGAAAGGTTTTGTCAGTGATTGTCTGGGTATTATTCGTCGCAATTGCCGTGGTTGAATTATTAATAATGTTAACGATTTTTTATGAAAATGCATTTCTATGTATTACATTACTTTTTCTTTCCTCTGCTGTTGTTAAATCATTCTTAATGAGATTGAATAATGCATTACGTCATAATAGGAAAGGTGATAATTTATGCGTCAAGCATGCAACGTACCTATATATATAAATCGCATGCTCTAATATTATTTTGACGCATGATTTCATGTAAACAATATATTATATGGATTCCAGTTCAACTGCTGATGCCGGTCTCAACAACAGAGACGTGCGAAGAGTTTATCTGCTAACATATAGTCAGGCTAACAAAAAGAAGTTTCCCACCAGAGCGTCTTTTGCAGAAGCGGTTATTGCAGCCTTTTCCAATGTTAATAACACGATTTGCAATGGTGCTGTTCACTAGAATATCACCGCATCACCGGCGGAATTCACTATCACATGTGTGTTAAACTAAAGAATTGCCAACGCTGGCTACCAGCAAAGAAATTTCTTGCAGATTCGTATGGCATATCGGTTCATTTCTCAGATCTTCATACCAATTATTATACCGCTTGGCAGTACGTGACAAAAGAAGACCAAAGTGCAGAGCAAAGTGAGGGCCATCCCGACTTGAATTACAGCAACGGGCCGAAAACTATGATGCTCATCTCGCTACAAGAGCATTGCGTAGTAAACGTAACACACAAGAGATGGAGATTTCGACAGGCATGATGATGAAGGTTGTATTTCCGAACACGACATGCCCACGACGACTGATTCGCGCTGCGAAGGCAAACCTGCAAAGGCTAAGAGGCGCAAACGCTTGAGTGCATTCGAGTTCTCGCAAATTATTGTGGAGAAAGGACTTAAAAACCGAACAGATGTTTTGGCCTTTGCTCATATGCAAAAGAACGAAGGAAAGACCGACATTGCGGAGTTTGTCGTGAACCGTGGAGCAAAGGTCGTCAACGACGCTATACAAACAGCATGGGAAATGGAAGGTGCTAAGGCTTCACAGGAACGCATGACTAGGTCACGCATGGAAATTCTGCACGAAGCACGGCGGAGACATGCAAATGTGTACCAACCTCTCAGTGGCACAACTTTGCTTTAGAATTGCTTCAAAACAATGGTATCCCGCACGAGTCGTTTGGAAATGCAGTGGGAGAGCTTTTGCGTAAAGGGCGAGGCAAATATAGGAATGTAATGCTCACAGGACCTGCAAATTGTGGTAAAACTTTCCTATTGAATCCCCTTAACAACATTTACAAAACTTTTACAAATCCTGCTTCTACAAGTTTTGCGTGGGTTGGGGCTGAGCAAGCTGAAGTGCTATTTTTAAACGACTTCAGATGGTCGGCCCAAATTATTGCATGGCATGATTTTCTTTTGCTGCTCGAGGGACAATTAGTACACCTACCAGCGCCAAAGAGTCATTTTGCAAGGGATATTACTTTTGACCGGGACACACCTATCTTTGCCACAAGCAAACATCAACTGGTTTACGTGAAGAATGGAGCAATTGATGAGCGGGAAACAGAGATGATGTCGGTGAGGTGGAAAGTTTTCAACTTTAATCGACAAGTGCCAGAATCAAAACAAAAGGACATTGCACCCTGTCCCGCGTGTTTTGCCCGATTGGTTTGTGCATGTTTCGATTAAACACTAGAAGCGAACAGATAAATGGCGTATTTTGTGCAAATTATCAATTGATGTGATATTAACAGTTTTATTAGAAAAAATGTTATAGATTTATTCAGATTTGTACATGCTGCCACATGCTCCACACGCTACCAGTAGCAGTAAGTAAAGTAAATATATATGCATATATCTTTATGTATTCTTTGTGTGGTAGCATGTGGTGGCATGTGGTAGCGTGTTGTAATTGCGCTGCATATTAAATAGGTTTACGTGTTTCGTTTTTTGGAAGCTAAAATACTATTTATTGTGCATAATTATTATCCAAAGAGAAGAGAAACGTGCACGCACGAAGTTGTAGTTAATAAGTATTTTCATAGAGCGACTGTATTAATATAATCAATCTTTTCGTTATAAAGTCAATAAATTACCAATTTATTTTAATATTTTGTACGATGACCTTTGCCACTCAGAACTAATTTAATCCTTCTTGGCATACTCGCTATGGTTTTGTCAATGTAATCTATTGGCAACGACCAAATATTTCGCTTTACCCTCGCAACAAATTCGTCCCATGTTTCGCGTGTTATGTTCTTCTCTTTCACTTCTCTCTCCAGACGTTTCCGTAAGACGTTGAATACATTTTCTATCGGATTCAGATCAGGTGATCTTGCGGGAATTACTTGCATTTTTGCTTTTATAGACCGCAAAGCTTTTTTTGCTTTCACAGACGTCTGACATGGACAATTGTCCATTAAAAATATTTTTTTACCATTCCCTTCAAAAAAATTACGAAAGTATCTACGTATAAAGGAAGCAAAATAGTCTCCTGTCATCTTTTTGTACTCCTCAGCGCAAATAACTCCTTTCCCGTATGCTATTGCTACTATTAAATGTAATCTTTTTCCCCCGGCCAAATCCTTGCTTCCTTTCGTGGTAAATATCAATCCCTCGTTTCTCTTTCTCCAAACACGGTTTTTGGCTTTTAAAGCATCACTCATCGGATTTCTTTATATATAAACGATACACCATCCAAGTAAAAAGCAACATCCTTCGTCCAGTATTCACAACTTTTCGCTTTCACTTCTCTACCGAATTTTCTTCGTTGCTTGAAATCTTTTGTCGTCATAACACCTTTTTTTCGACTTGGGTAGAACCCATAACCAAGTTTCTTAATACATCTTACAAACGTTCTATAGCTTGCAGATTTTAATGCAACACCACTGTTTTGTACGACTTCTTTTATCGTAAAATTTGGATCTACGGCCCTCAATTTCTTTAATGAAAGCACGAGATTCCGTTTATCACGTGCATTGAGCAGTTCAGGCCGTCCACCTTTTGATTTCTTTTCTTGCTTTTTATAAATTCGATTGTTGCTTAGTTCCTCGTTTTTAACAATATCAAATACAGTTGACTTTGAAAGTTTTGTTTTTAAAGCAATCTTACGGTATGAGAAATGCATTTCGCGTCTCATTAATAAAGCTAAAGCTCGTTCATGTGGCTTCACTTTCCTCTGCGATGGCATTTTCATTAAGTTAATGCAATTAATAATACATCTTTATGACGTCATTTAATTAGCATTGCTCTGGTAATATAGAATAAATGATTTCATTATACCTGCAAAAAAGTTTTGATGATTATTATTGTTGTTTAATCGAGCGCAACTGGAACTTAGGTTGCAATCACTGACAAAACCTTTCCGGACACTTACATATTTTCGTTCATTTTTTGGACAGCTCATTAAAAACAGTGGCTTCTCCCCCGTCCCCCTCTTCAATGTTGGCTAAAGGCAAATTTGTTTCTGTAGAAAGCCTTTGGAGCGACAGTAAGTAATATATTAAGCCATATTTTTTATATTCAACATTGAAAGGGGGCGGGGGGGTACAAGGGGGGTTCATATTGAAAATTTCAGTGAAATGTCCGGAGAGTTTTGTCACTGATTGTCTGTGCAACCTAAGTTCCAGTTGCGCTCGATTAAACAACAATAATAATCATCAAAACTTTTTTGCAGGTATAATGAAATCATTTATTCTATATTACCAGAGCAATGCTAATTAAATGACGTCATAAAGATGTATTATTAATTGCATTAACTTAATGAAAATGCCATCGCAGAGGAAAGTGAAGCCACATGAACGAGCTTTAGCTTTATTAATGAGACGCGAAATGCATTTCTCATACCGTAAGATTGCTTTAAAAACAAAACTTTCAAAGTCAACTGTATTTGATATTGTTAAAAACGAGGAACTAAGCAACAATCGAATTTATAAAAAGCAAGAAAAGAAATCAAAAGGTGGACGGCCTGAACTGCTCAATGCACGTGATAAACGGAATCTCGTGCTTTCATTAAAGAAATTGAGGGCCGTAGATCCAAATTTTACGATAAAAGAAGTCGTACAAAACAGTGGTGTTGCATTAAAATCTGCAAGCTATAGAACGTTTGTAAGATGTATTAAGAAACTTGGTTATGGGTTCTACCCAAGTCGAAAAAAAGGTGTTATGACGACAAAAGATTTCAAGCAACGAAGAAAATTCGGTAGAGAAGTGAAAGCGAAAAGTTGTGAATACTGGACGAAGGATGTTGCTTTTTACTTGGATGGTGTATCGTTTATATATAAAAGAAATCCGATGAGTGATGCTTTAAAAGCCAAAAACCGTGTTTGGAGAAAGAGAAACGAGGGATTGATATTTACCACGAAAGGAAGCAAGGATTTGGCCGGGGGAAAAAGATTACATTTAATAGTAGCAATAGCATACGGGAAAGGAGTTATTTGCGCTGAGGAGTACAAAAAGATGACAGGAGACTATTTTGCTTCCTTTATACGTAGATACTTTCGTAATTTTTTTGAAGGGAATGGTAAAAAAATATTTTTAATGGACAATTGTCCATGTCAGACGTCTGTGAAAGCAAAAAAAGCTTTGCGGTCTATAAAAGCAAAAATGCAAGTAATTCCCGCAAGATCACCTGATCTGAATCCGATAGAAAATGTATTCAACGTCTTACGGAAACGTCTGGAGAGAGAAGTGAAAGAGAAGAACATAACACGCGAAACATGGGACGAATTTGTTGCGAGGGTAAAGCGAAATATTTGGTCGTTGCCAATAGATTACATTGACAAAACCATAGCGAGTATGCCAAGAAGGATTAAATTAGTTCTGAGTGGCAAAGGTCATCGTACAAAATATTAAAATAAACAGTTGGTAATTTATTGACTTTATAACGAAAAGATTGATTATATTAATACAGTCGCTCTATGAAAATACTTATTAACTACAACTTCGTGCGTGCACGTTTCTCTTCTCTTTGGATAATAATTATGCACAATTAAATAGTATTTTAGCTTCCAAAAAACGAAACACGTAAACCTATTTAATATGCAGCGCAATTACAACACGCTACCACATGCCACCACATGCTACCACACAAAGAATACATAAAGATATATGCATATATATTTACTTTACTTACTGCTACTGGTAGCGTGTGGAGCATGTGGCAGCATGTACAAATCTGAATAAATCTATAACATTTTTCTAATAAAACTGTTAATATCACATCAATTGATAATTTGCACAAAATACGCCATTTATCTGTTCGCTTCTAGTGTTTAATCGAAACATGCACAAACCAATCGGGCAAAACACGCGGGACAGGGTGCAATGTCCTTTTGTTTTGATTCTGGCACTTGTCGATTAAAGTTGAAAACTTTCCACCTCACCGACATCATCTCTGTTTCCCGCTCATCAATTGCTCCATTCTTCACGTAAACCAGTTGATGTTTGCTTGTGGCAAAGATAGGTGTGTCCCGGTCAAAAGTAATATCCCTTGCAAAATGACTCTTTGGCGCTGGTAGGTGTACTAATTGTCCCTCGAGCAGCAAAAGAAAATCATGCCATGCAATAATTTGGGCCGACCATCTGAAGTCGTTTAAAAATAGCACTTCAGCTTGCTCAGCCCCAACCCACGCAAAACTTGTAGAAGCAGGATTTGTAAAAGTTTTGTAAATGTTGTTAAGGGGATTCAAAAGGAAAGTTTTACCACAATTTGCAGGTCCTGTGAGCATTACATTCCTATATTTGCCTCGCCCTTTACGCAAAAGCTCTCCCACTGCATTTCCAAACGACTCGTGCGGGATACCATTGTTTTGAAGCAATTCTAAAGCAAAGTTGTGCCACTGAGAGGTTGGTACACATTTGCATGTCTCCTGCCGTGCTTCGTGCAGAATTTCCATGCGTGACCTAGTCATGCGTTCCTGTGAAGCCTTAGCACCTTCCATTTCCCATGCTGTTTGTATAGCGTCGTTGACGACCTTTGCTCCACGGTTCACGACAAACTCCGCAATGTCGGTCTTTCCTTCGTTCTTTTGCATATGAGCAAAGGCCAAAACATCTGTTCGGTTTTTAAGTCCTTTCTCCACAATAATTTGCGAGAACTCGAATGCACTCAAGCGTTTGCGCCTCTTAGCCTTTGCAGGTTTGCCTTCGCAGCGCGAATCAGTCGTCGTGGGCATGTCGTGTTCGGAAATACAACCTTCATCATCATGCCTGTCGAAATCTCCCATCTCTTGTGTGTTACGTTTACTACGCAATGCTCTTGTAGCGAGATGAGCATTCATAGTTTTCGGCCCGTTGCTGTATTCAAGTCGGGATGGCCCTCACTTTGCTCTGCACTTTGGTCTTCTTTTGTCACGTACTGCCAAGCGGTATAATAATTGGTATGAAGATCTGAGAAATGAACCGATATGCCATACGAATCTGCAAGAAATTTCTTTGCTGGTAGCCAGCGTTGGCAATTCTTTAGTTTAACACACATGTGATAGTGAATTCCGCCGGTGATGCGGTGATATTCTAGTGAACAGCACCATTGCAAAATCGTGTTATTAACATTGGAAAAGGCTGCAATAACCGCTTCTGCAAAAGACGCTCTGGTGGGAAACTTCTTTTTGTTAGCCTGACTATATGTTAGCAGAATAAACTCTTCGCACGTCTCTGTTGTTGAGACCGGCATCAGCAGTTGAACTGGAATCCATATAATATATTGTTTACATGAAATCATGCGTCAAAATAATATTAGAGCATGCGATTATTATTATATAGGTACGTTGCATGCTTGACGCATAAATTATCACCTTTCCTATTATGACGTAATGCATTATTCAATCTCATTAAGAATGATTTAACAACAGCAGAGGAAAGAAAAAGTAATGTAATACATAGAAATGCATTTTCATAAAAAATCGTTAACATTATTAATAATTCAACCACGGCAATTGCGACGAATAATACCCAGACAATCACTGACAAAACCTTTCCGGACACTTACATATTTTCGTTCATTTTTTGGACAGCTCATTAAAAACAGTGGCTTCTCCCCCGTCCCCCTCTTCAATGTTGGCTAAAGGCAAATTTGTTTCTGTAGAAAGCCTTTGGAGCGACAGTAAGTAATATATTAAGCCATATTTTTTATATTCAACATTGAAAGGGGGCGGGGGGGTACAAGGGGGGTTCATATTGAAAATTTCAGTGAAATGTCCGGAGAGTTTTGTCACTGATTGTCTGGGTATTATTCGTCGCAATTGCCGTGGTTGAATTATTAATAATGTTAACGATTTTTTATGAAAATGCATTTCTATGTATTACATTACTTTTTCTTTCCTCTGCTGTTGTTAAATCATTCTTAATGAGATTGAATAATGCATTACGTCATAATAGGAAAGGTGATAATTTATGCGTCAAGCATGCAACGTACCTATATAATAATAATCGCATGCTCTAATATTATTTTGACGCATGATTTCATGTAAACAATATATTATATGGATTCCAGTTCAACTGCTGATGCCGGTCTCAACAACAGAGACGTGCGAAGAGTTTATCTGCTAACATATAGTCAGGCTAACAAAAAGAAGTTTCCCACCAGAGCGTCTTTTGCAGAAGCGGTTATTGCAGCCTTTTCCAATGTTAATAACACGATTTTGCAATGGTGCTGTTCACTAGAATATCACCGCATCACCGGCGGAATTCACTATCACATGTGTGTTAAACTAAAGAATTGCCAACGCTGGCTACCAGCAAAGAAATTTCTTGCAGATTCGTATGGCATATCGGTTCATTTCTCAGATCTTCATACCAATTATTATACCGCTTGGCAGTACGTGACAAAAGAAGACCAAAGTGCAGAGCAAAGTGAGGGCCATCCCGACTTGAATTACAGCAACGGGCCGAAAACTATGAATGCTCATCTCGCTACAAGAGCATTGCGTAGTAAACGTAACACACAAGAGATGGGAGATTTCGACAGGCATGATGATGAAGGTTGTATTTCCGAACACGACATGCCCACGACGACTGATTCGCGCTGCGAAGGCAAACCTGCAAAGGCTAAGAGGCGCAAACGCTTGAGTGCATTCGAGTTCTCGCAAATTATTGTGGAGAAAGGACTTAAAAACCGAACAGATGTTTTGGCCTTTGCTCATATGCAAAAGAACGAAGGAAAGACCGACATTGCGGAGTTTGTCGTGAACC